AGCTGACTCAGCCCCAAACATTATAGGATCATCTCAGGCCAGTGGGATAACCAACCCTCAATGCCTGACACTCCCTGGTCAGGTGACTTTTCCACCAGATATTCCACCATGATATTGGATTTCAAGTTAAACACGTTTAGGAATCGCATTTCTACCTGCCGGTTCCCACGCCAAAGAACAGGTTGGCCCACTCCACCCTGTCCCCCTCTCACTTCTATGTTAAGGACAGGAAACTCGCCGCTCATCAAAGAGCAGCAGGTCTCCCACCACAAATCAAAGCAGAGCCATGCGGCGTTGTTTCTTCATATAAAGAGCGGCAGCCAGAGCCGAGGGCCGGATCAGAGAAAGCATCAAGCGCCGACACGCTGGGAACGCTGGGCCAGCTGCACAAATGAAAGCCGGAGTGGGTTCTCACAAACACACACTCAGTTGGGTGAAAACGCTCCGAGCTATGACCCCGATCGCAAAACACCTAATGAACCATGGCGTGTAAAGCGTTCCACCCAATCACGCTGCAGCTATAAATTTGATAGGTTTCAGAGCTGTGCTGCTGCAGCTAATTAGACATGCAGACTGTGAAATGTTGCACAAGGGAGATGATTAGAAAACACTTATCAGTAGTTTTGTGGACATAGTACATCAAATCATACCCAACCTGTCCTGGATTTTACCGAGTGTGTATCTGCTCAGGTTTGCTGTTGGTTTGTTGGGTCAAATGAGGATTAAAGTCTTCTACGCATGTCTTATTACGCTGTAATCTAATATGTGGAGTGGAGCTTCTGAGGACCATAGGCCCTGTGGATCAAATAACAAGTAAAGGAGAAGAGAGCTTTCAGACTCTCCCTTGTGGATGAAACCTAATTAAGGATTCAGCAACTTACATTCAATCATTTCTAAAAGGGAATGGTAAATAATAAAAGCGAGCCAGCTCCTATTTTTCCACACGGAAAGCTTTTAATTTGACTTCTTTAGGTGATACAATATTCAGCAAATGAATGGAATGCACTCAAGACTTCTTTCAATATCGTTTTTATATCTTTGCAGATCAAGTTCTCATGTGGAGAACATCACACGCCAGACTACTATTAAAAAATCGAGCGATTTAAAGAAATTTTCATTTGATGGTGAGTATGAAGATCTTAAACATACGAATGAAAGATCATAATAAGTGGCAATAACTGCGCATAGATGCGGCATAATCTGTTCCACATAAAGACACACGATAGCACTGTATGTCGATTAAACTGCAATGCAAGTGTCCATACTAACCCGGTCTAGTTACAATGTTTGACCTGTTTAAAATATAGCCGTACAAGGAGGAAATATTTCTAATATTCAGAAAAATAGCTGGAGTAGTTGACTTTGAATAGAAGCATTTATTTCAAATGAAAATAGTTAAATCAGTCGTTTATTAATAGAGGATCGGTGTTGGGTCAACTCGCATTAGGCTGGTCCACTACATGCGAGCGGTGTCTAGCTGAGGAGACACAACTCTCGCTTTGGCCAAACCCCCCTCACACACACGCACGTGGGACTGAAGCCGATTTGAATACAGCTCAGGGTTTTATCAAGATAAGTCAGGCTAAAGAAAGAGAAGCCTTATAGAGGAGTTTTTTATCATTAACGTATGAACGTACCTGTTTTGGGTATTGTTTTTTCCGGTGGGGGCTTCGGGCGCTGAGCACCGTCTGTGGGGGAGACGAGCTTAGCTTTCGCTGCCTCCGTCTGGCGCTTCGCCGCTGTTTAATTCCCTCCTCATCACAGCTTAACCCGGCACGGTCCAGCACGCCAGACAGAAAGTATCTGAGGATATGCTGCCGCTACTCTGCAGCCTGGAGAAGAGCTGGCTTCATCAGCAGTGAGTTCAGCTGAGTCCAACCAACAACAACAAAAAAAAACAACAAAAAACGGCTCCCCGGGGACAACAAAGCGCACGAGCGTTTTCTGTCAGTTAGTGTTGCATTCCTGGCGAGGGGGGGAAATCGGGAATGCGGATTCCTTTCTCTAATTTATTCCCATCGCAAACAAAATTCCGTGGGTTTTTGCCTCTTCCCCGATGCCTCGCGGCTATGTTTCCAGTTTAAAACTTGCCGAAGGGCGGTCCGCCGTGTGGGACTCCGCGGAGAGAGTAGGTCGGGGCGGATACGGAGCCGGGCAGCGGCTCTATCACTGCGCTGCCTTCACGGGACGTCGGAAATGCCGGACACCAGCCGACAACACTGCTAAGAAATACCCCTACAGCCACGACGTGGTGTTATAATGACACGTTATAAAAGATAATCAATATGTAGTATTGATATACTTTAATAAGTCGATTTAACGTTTCCTAAAAGGTTGGGGTGATAATTATCTACATTATGAATTAACCAGAAAAAAAATATTTGCTGTTGACTACAAGGCAAACATAACAAAACCAATTGTGTCTGCAGTATTTAGAGAACCAGACATCCAGAGATGTTGTCAACAGACACTGGTGAAGATTTGGCTGATTAGTAACCAGCCAGAGTCAGTAGATAAATCGACGTGGTGCTTTCTTGTGGTTTTGAATATGACAGTCTGAGAGAGTATTTCCAAAGGAAAAACAAACTAGGTGTTCATTGTGTAACTATAAATCCAATCAGATCCAATCAGCACAGAAATATTAAACTGAACAAGAATCCATTTATGCCGCAGATGACTGAACATAATTTGACAAGGCCTTGTTTAAGAACATAACACTCCAGGGTTGAGTTTATTATATTGATATTGGCAGTAAAGCAGAAAATTGTGTGCAGTTATTAAACCCGCTTTAAAGCCAATAGTTATTATAAAACTTTAAAAGTTTGAATCCTTTCTTAAAGGTAGAGAGGGGGTTTGTCCCTGAACCCAAACTGGCAGCTGGCTTCACAGAGAGGGGGCTGATACCTGAGGGCTCTGCCTCCATCTCTACTCTTACAAACTCAGGAACCACACGTAGACCTGCAGTCTGAGCAAAGAGCCCAGCTGGGAACTCATCCAACTATGAGCTATGGAGCTTTTAGTTTATGTGTGAGGAGCAGAACGGTAAATGCTATCCTAGATTAAAAGCTGGGTCAGTACTGGAATCACAATTGGGAGACTTATGCAAGAAATTAAATTTAATGCAGAAATGGGACGAGTTACAGCATTTTAAAAAGCCATATAAATACACCATATAAATAGACTGGGTCTATATTATGGAAAAGGGATTTCTTAAATGGTTCCTGAGGGTTTTAAGCAGAAATCCTTTGAATTCTCATCTTCTCTGCTTTTATATCCTGTGCTTACTGAACCCAGATACATATGTATGTCCCATGCATTACTGGTACTTGGTGAATGAGTTGATCTGTTACTTGCACACTTAGGTAGATGATCAGAGTTTACTTCAAATGCACTTTCTTTCATACATTAAATGATTTATTTTTATGTCTATTTATAGTCTGTTTTTTAAATGATTTGGTAAATTGTTATCTATCAAAATATTGTTATTATTTTCTTCTATTAGTGAACCGTTGCTGCTGTGGTTACAGACAAGTCCATGTTATAAAGTTATTCATTAGCATTTTAAAAAGGGCTATCGGGTGGTGGTTTTGTTCAATCTGATATGTGTGTTTTTTTTAAACAAGATAATCTATTCTGAATCTGACGGCGAGCCAAAAAAAAGGTGGGGGATATTATCTCTGCAGCTACTTCTTATCAGAACATTTATGAAATCCAGTCTTGGACATAACAAATGCATGATGCAGTTTATCTGCATCACTTTGAGACAGGAGCCTCTTAATTGTGTCAAGACATAAAAAAAATACCTCATCTCCACTCAAACTGCATGCAGAGGCTGAACTTAATCAAAAGCTGACCTCTAGTGGCAGCCTGGGCCTTCACGCTGCAGATTTACTGCATTTGGGGTTTACTGGGGACAGTCACAGTGGATTTAAAGCCCCGATTCCATCGCCCCAAACACAATTTCACTCAATGAAAGTGGATTTTAACGCACTGTTTAGGCGGAACAAGAGCCCCAGAACATCAGCATAATCACAGGCGGTGATCAAATTTATATAGTGGCACGCAAAAAGATTAGGTATGGCCGGGTAAAAATCGCACCCTCTGAGAAAAGCCAAGCGGATGACGGATGACCTGGGATCCAAAGGACATAAAGTCTGCAATGATTCAGCGTTTTCAGGAAGATTTATTGTGATTTCCATCTCTGAAGGTTATAAACCACCCAAAGAAGGAAAGCAGCACCTCTGACAGTTTGTCAAAGTTTTCATTTGGGCACTGTGAGTCATTCAGTTCTTCTTTTTGGGATTTATGCTCATTCTTCTCTGTATCCGTGAGTCTAGTTTAGTTTTAGTTTTTGGGCTTTTGCTGCTCTTTGAGGTGCTTTTTTCATGGTTATTACCAGGGCAGGATACAGTGTTTAAGGCACAGGGCCCAAAACTCTGGTCCTCTGAAGTTCTGGATCTCATTCTCTGACTTGTCTCTTGGTTAATAAAACCCTTTAAAAGTAGCTTGATGGATGGAAATGCTATTTAGGTTAAGTTTACACATTTTGTAGACTTTTGTACACATTGTTTGCCTAAAATCAAGCTTTGATTAAACGGCTCATTTCAAGATGTTTTCTTCTTATTTCCTGAATCTACTTGAAGCTTTTTGGGGTTTTTATTAAGTTCCTTTTGTTTAAAGACACACTGCCTGACTTCCACCATTCTTAACTTAATTCCTTAATAACATTAGGGGCTAAGGAATCTGCTGCCTGAAAGCGTTTTCTCCCTCAAAGCGTTCTTCCTCTTTGTTGGCATCAGTTTATTTTCAATTTTCCGAGTGCTTTGCAGCTTTTCTCAAAAACCCTGTTAAGCTACAGCTCTAACAAGCTGATTATGCTCTCAGAGCTTGGTATAACTTTATCTAAGAGCTTAAATCTCTTGAGCTGCACAGATTAATTTGTGTTGCTCCTCCAGCTTTTCACCAACTGTAAAATTATACACAAAAATAACACAAACTGTTTAAAATCATTAAAACAATGCTTTAATTTCTCTCAGGTGAGTTACTCTTCTTTTCAAAGTACCGTGTAGTTACAGATAAAATGATTATAAAAATATTCATGATTGGTGCATCCTCATCAGGATACACACATTTCACACGAACACTGACATGTTTACATCGTTTTTCATGTTTTAAATCAACATTTACAGACCGGGCGATTAGAGACGTGGCCATCTCGTCAGAACAAACAAAACTGGGTCCGGCGTGCTGCTGCATGTCTGCACCAAAGAGACGGAACAAATGTGTTCGATTCGTGTTTGAGATTCTTAAACTGGGCAGAGGAATAAAGCAGAACAGCTCAGGACTCTGGCTTTATGAGAGGAGTCAACAGATGCTGGGGCTGGTTTGTTGCATTAAACGTGCTTTATAAATAAGGTTGGATTGGATGTTTGCATAGTTACTGCAGACTTAATTCTTACTGGTTTTATGGGAGAAGATTGGGCCGCTGAATCATCGGTTAGTTTGTGTCTCTCTCCCTTATTAAAGTTTAATGACCGAGGACACGGAGGTGAATCCAATTTGTGGGCCGCCTCTTAAACCTGGTTTGTGTGTCCGCCCGATTTTAATGACTTTATTCTGCACGAAAACTTTGTTAAAGCCATCAAAGAGATAAATCGGGCTCCAAACACCATCAGTTGAGCCGAGTTTGGGGAGTTGGGCCATGTTTAGTGATACTGGAAGAAAGAAGGAGGAGGTCCCAAAGCAAATAATCCAACACAGAACTCTCACTAAATCCTTAATCTTCATTCGGGGCAAAATGTGGAATGGGTCAGAAGGCAGTGACGTCTACCACCAACACAAACGAGGAGCAGAGAGGGCTTTTTGGTTCAAATGGATGAGCAGGGTGGGGGTGCACAGCAGCTGTGGGCGGCTGGGTGTGAGGCTCTTAGCTGCCCCCTTACCTGCCTGCCTACATTCTAATAAAGGCCCAAAACATCTCGAAGAATCCCAAATTCATGAAATGTAACTAATCAAAGGGGTCCAGCTGGCTACAACCACTTCACATCTTTTATCAGTTATCCACTCAGCATCCTGGAGACTGAATGCTAAAAACCTGTGTGGGGGGCGAGGTTTTAATTTCAAAATCCAAATGAAACTTGACTCCTACAAGCTGTTAATGAAGAAGTGAGGCTCAGCTGCAAGCTCTAACCACAGACAAACACAAAGTCCTGCAAAGGCTCCACTGGCTCCCCGAGATGGTGACAGACACTATCAACAAATCCATGCTGAATTATCTCTGACTGATTTTAGCATCAAACCTGCTAATGTCACTAAAACCGCCTCTCTGGTCCATCTACACGCTCCTGTCATGGACTAATCCAAAATAATCCGCGCCTAACAGGACAGCTGAAGTGCTATGGGGTCATTTTCAGAGACCTGTTGTTTTTCCACAGCTGAAGTGGGGGGGTGGGGGGTGGGGGCTGATCTAGTCTGACTTCCAGCAGGACGGCAGCGCTCTGAGGCTCTGTCTGCTGGATGCTGCAGCTTCCAGTCTGTGGAAGAAGATTGATGCCGAAAAGGGTCAAACAAACAGCTAAAACTTGAGAGAGAGTCTACAAAAACTTGGTATTCTGGCTGCTAAATCTGTTTTGTTTTACAACATTTATATTTGTTTTTTTAATTTACAAAAAGAAAAAGAAATAAAAATTGCACCTCTCATAGCAGGATGTTAAGTAGCCTCCTGTCCAATGGGAAATTAGCTGTTAAAGCTATATATATATATATATATATATATATATAAAAGAGAGTGATTTATTATAGTTCTCAGTTACTCATAAGATGCTCCTGCATATCTGAAGAATTTGCACTTTTTTTAGCCTAAAAACTGTGGACTTTCTGTCAAGGTTTTTACCTGGAAACTTATTCCATCAGACATAATTCCTGGTCCCATTTCTCTACAACTGACCAATCCCGAGATGCAAACAATCGAGCATTTTTTAAAAACCTTAAAGCGGTGGCAGGAAGTCAGGAATATGCTAATGGGAAAGCCGATCCGCGTTTTGCCTCATCGCCCTCTGACCGTTCTATCAAAAGCTAAGTCTTGCTCCAGATCCTGACCTGAAACCCAACTCTCAGGGATTGTTGACCATCAAATATTAAAAACCAGATCGAGCTCACGTTCACATCTTGGGTAAAACGAGCCGAAGTAGCCAGAATCACATTGGTTGGGTTTTTGGTACCTTGTTTTTGGTTCTGAAACGAAAAAGAAACGTTTCTCAGTTTTGAAACACCAAGAATGAAACTCTCCACGTTTTCTGAAGTTATGGGACATCTGTATCGCTTTTGACTTAAAGAGGGACCCAAGGTCACAGCAGAAGTGTAAAGGGTGAGAACAGCCAGGAGTTATACTGCTCTCATTAGCTTTGAAGTCAGGAGCCCCACTGTGACATCCTCCAGCTCTGAGAGCAGGAAGAGAAGCTCAAAGATGCCGTAGTGCAAATAAGAAACCAGGCAAATGTTACAACCATGGAGGAAATAGAGGGTGTTGTTTTAGCAGCAGCAGCAGCTCCTCAAACCTCAACCATCTGGAGCTAAAACATGGAAAAATGTTTTTCTGTGTAAAAATAAAAACGCTTCTCTTTATGACCGGAGCCGCGGAATGTATGAAAATACCTTATTTTTCGTAGTTTTTTCCTCCATTTTAGAGGATTTCTGTCAAACAATTGTCTAATCTTTAAGACCAAAAGGCCTTCTTTACAAAAAAAAGCACGTGGACAGACAAAGTGTGGGATCTATTCTTTACAAACCCGTCTCTGCTCTGTGTGACAACGTCACACACACGCCCACAGTGGACCCCTGCATCACCTTAGACGACGCAAAGTGTCTGCAGAGGGTATTTAAGTGCTTCTACTGGGTGGCTTTTGCCAGTCTGAGGTGTTTAATATTAATCAGAAGGGTCGTTTTGGAGACTTTTAGTGATTTCTGTGCAGTTTTCTTTCTGCTGGCACGTCCACTCGCTGTATGGGGAGCAGACCCCACCTGGGAGCTGGTGGTTAAAATGGGAAACACTGGGGCCTGCAGTGGGGGGGGCAGAGCTGCCCCTTCCCGCCGTCCTGTTCCAAAACCTCACGCACTCCCTTCCATCATCAGCATTCGATCTCAATGCAGACAAATGATTTCACATTCACAGTTCAGACCGGCGTTCCTGCTCCGTCCTCAGACCCTGGCAGCCGGGGAGGTGAAGTGCATGCTGGGAGTTAGCCGTCTCGCTCCTCGGCGCCCTGGCTCGTGCTCCTGTCCAGGTGGGAGGAGCCCTCGAAGCGCTGGGAGGCGATGGCGGCTTGGTGAGACATGCTCTTCCTCACTATGTCGCCCTTTCTCCACAGAGTGATCTCCTGCAAAGACATGGTTTCAAAGTCCCTTAATCAGAGCATTAAACCAGAAACAGGAAACACAAAACAGCCAAAAAAACAACAACAAACATGAAATATTCCCAAATCACAGGAAGAATAATCCCCTCCATCTAGCTCTTGGTTTATACCAGGAAAACCTCCATAGGCTCCAACCTGCTCCTATGTGGAGGTTATGCAGGGACTATAAACCACATCTGAAGAAGATTAAATCAATAAATGTGTTTATGCTGGCAGGAGAGCTCTGCTGAGAAGAGAGAGGGTGCATCTTAAAATACCCACTTCCTTCCAGGTTTCTCAGAGTTTCAGAGGGGAAACTCAGACCTCCCTCACATCATTCTGCAGCTCTTTTATGGATGTGTTTTCCCTGAGATGTTATTTCCACCATTCACCATTTAAATGTACCAGTCAGACCAGCTTTGCTCCCAGTCTTCCCATCAGAGTGCATGCTGAGTCTCAGTCTGAGTACCTGCTGCTTAAAATAGCGCCGCTCCTCCTCGTCTATGAGGACCAGGTTCAGGTAGTACCGCACTGAGAACTTCTTGTTGATGTCCCTCATTGTGGGCGTCATCTCGTAGCCGGCCAGAAACAGCCGGATGGGGATGGACTCTCCTGTGAGGGCAGAGGACCAGAGCGGCGTCAGACCACTGCAGGGGGCAGGAACCCACCTAAAGGCCGGCAGTCACCTCTGACTGGAGCTCCGTCCATGATCTCGTACTTGGCTATGGTGTCGTTCTCGTGGTAGACGTTGGGTCCCGTCCCGGTCGTCTCGCGCTTGATAATGTCGATCTCCATGTGTCTGATCTTGATCCTCACCAGGAGGAAGTAAATCTTCCCCACGATCACGTCTTTGAGGTGATACCTGTAGGCAGAAGGCGCCAGCCGTCAAAAACAGCCCGCCAGCAAACGTGTCCAACAGCTCAAAGAATGCCTTACTTGGACTTATTGTACTCGAACTCGATGTGCAGGCAGTCCTCGATGCCCACCTCCATCTTGATGGAGGAGTTGAGCTCAGGGTACGTGCTGAGCGAGTGAACCACGATGTCCTGCTCTTTGCTGACGTCGTTCAGCCTCCTGCCAACAGTCGCTCTCAGGAAGTAACTGAGAGGGAGGCAAATAAGAAAGTCAGCCTGTGAGTTCATCCAGCTAAAAATGTCCCATTCCAATTCATTTTAATCAAAAGGACAAAGCCGTCCCACCTAATGCCCACATGTTGATTAGAATGAAGTTAAATTACACTAAGAGATTGTTTTAGACATCAACTCTCATCATTAATCTCTTGTGGGTGTCAAGTTATTCTGAATTCATTTGTGGTTATAAGCTGGTCCTCCCCAACACGCATGTCACACCTGAGGAAGCCTTTAGGTCGAGAGATGAAAAGTCATGCAAATAACTACTGAGGTAAGAGTAAATAGGTAAACAAAAGATGGTAGAAATGTGAAGATAACACAATCAGCCTTTTTTTTACACTTCGGTCTCTGCAAAGTCGGGTGGAGTCTGTACGTGTTGCCGTGTGAGGGTGGCTTTTGTCTCGACAAAAACCAAATCAAACAGCTTTCAGCGGTGAGTGAAGAAATTGGGTCAATGTGGTAGATATTGTAGCGAATGTACTAAGTAAAAAGTGCACCAAAATGGCTTTTTTTGAGTGTGACTGGTCCAAAATGTTACTGGGATTGTGTATGGGGACTTTCAGGGCGACTCAGAAGGGAGCTGAGCGGAGCCCTCTGAGTGGGGAAGGGGCCCTGAGCCCTGAACGAGCCCTGAGGCTAACGTGAACCCCCTTTTCAGTCTGGACCTGTGACACTGACCCCTCCGCTGACAGCACAGACAAAGCTCTTACCGTAACTTGACGTTCTGGCCGGTGTACGACTCGTACGGTTTCTCCACGTGCGTGAACTCGAAGTCAAAGCTCTGCGACTGCGTCAGCTCCCCGGGTCGGGCCAAGTCTTTCACCAGGGACACAAACTCGTGGGGGTTCCCTCTGTCGAAGTACAGCTCTGGAAAACACACATGCCGTCAGGAGTCCGGTCCGAGGCGGCAACGCCCTGCTGGCAGCTGCCCACCGAGGAACGGCCTCCAAAGGTTAACCTTTTTTTTGGGAGGGAGGCGGGTGAAAGGGATGAAGAAAGAGGAAGTGCAAACAGCAACTGCTCACACTAAGCTTAGCATAAAGAATTAAGAAAACCTAACTTGGGCCGTCCTCAGGTGGTTTCTTTTCCTAATGAATGGGCTTTGGGGCTTCTGCTGCTTTTGTGTTTTTCCTTCGTGGCACATGCTGACACTTCTTTAGGAAGTCAAAGGTTTGTGTAAAAAGAAGAATCTGCTTCACTCAAAGGAAGGTTTTACTCCTAAAATGTCCCCTTCTGAGCAGCCTCCTTTGTTCCTGTGATGTAACCGGGCAGACAGGCTGATGGCATAAAGCAGTTATGTGTGATATAACTCAGTTTTTGTCTTTGGACAATCACATATTCAGTCCAATATTTTGTACTTTTATTATTTATTTTAAAGACTCCCAACTCATTAAAATAAAGGACACACACTTTGTCTAATAAAAACTGACTTCAGAGCTAGCTGGAATCTTAAGTTATGATTTTCAAACTGGGGTCAGAGGTCACAGACGCGGCTGGCCAATCGCAGACGTGCCAGCTGACGGCAGGGAACGCCCACATCTGTCACGAGACCGGCTCAAAGTGACGCTTCTCCCCGCCGGTCGGGGTCTGGTTTTACGTGTGTATGGGGTGGGGGGGGGAGGTTAGCCCGTGTCTATGCGGCTTTGCAGCCTCCTCTTTACCGGAGCGGCCTGTGGGGGGTGGGGGGTCAGCGGTCAGCCCCCCCCCCTCCGGCCACAGTTGGGGCCCGCCAGCTCGCTTACCGATCTGCCCGATGAACTCTATCTTGATGCCGTTGTGCTCCAGCCTCTTTCCGGGGTGCTTCAGCGTCACGCTGACTTTCCCGGACACCGTCTCTCCGTCGTAGAAGAGGAAATACTTGTCCTTCCGGCCGTCTTCGCTCTTGTGCTCGGCTTTCTTTCTCGTCTCGGCGTCGTTCAGGACTACGTCGACGTCCGCACTTTGGCCAAAGCCGAAGAAGCTCATGGCTGCCGGGTCGCCCCTGGAACCGGGTCCTGCCGCCTCTGGAAAGCGGGTCCTAAAGCTTCTAGAAACCGGGTCCTAAAGCCTCGGGAGCCGGGTCCTGGCGCGGGGGAAAAGTGGCTTCCGTCCCCGCCGAGCAGCGCAATAGTTTCTTCCCCTTTCGCTGTCAGAGCCGCTTCCAGATTACGGTGTCCGAGTTACTACCGGCTCAGTGCGCATGCGCGGCCGTCACGTGAAGGAAACCTGTGGCGCACCGTTTCCGCCACTTTCTTCATTCATTTCAGCCGCAAAGCGCGAGCCCCGCTCATAAAGCGAAGCCTATACGCCCCCCTCATCTTCTGCTGGGATTTAAAAGCTGCTTTTATGTTAGAATTTAGAGTCCTTCTGCGCTTCTGCGGCGCAGCAGCGGCGGCGGTGAAGTCCCGGGCTTTAATCCGGAGTTCAGCCTGTCAGGCTCAGCTCAGCCCTCAACATAAGAGCAAAACCTCATTTTCTCCTACTTGGACACATGGCAAAAGGTCTCGACACACTCTACGTTACTTGAAACCCTCTTACAATAGTTTAACTTTGTTTCGAGCTTTAGTTCTTCAGGCTCTTGAAAGTGAGACTTTTTCTTTGGACATTTGGATATTTTCTCACTCATTATCCTTATTTATCATTATTATTTTTTTGTACAACTGCTGAGCGGCGAAATTTGCATGCAAAAAAAAAAGCACTTAAATTCAAGTGATGAACCAGTGATACACTTTAGTTTAACACAGTATTTATCAAAGTGCCATTTTAAAATCATGATTTTCGGCACTGAATTTAATGACAGAAATACAACCTGCTGCACGCAAAAAGATAAGAAATGGTGTCTCTTTGACAGGCTCCTGGCAAGCCTTTGGTTCAAAAAGGTTAAAAGCTCATCTAAGCCTTCCAAAAGAAGTGAGAACCAAATAAAATGCTAAACTAACCAAACCGTGAAGTTTCTGGGAGGCAAACTTTGTTATATTGGAAAGGATTTGAAATTATGGAATTATTCATCATTCAATGTCCTGATGGTGTTGACATGAAGAGTATTTTTATATCTTTTTGCTCATGCCCTTAATGTCCCTAAAAGACCTTAGATCAAATATTTACTTCAGAGCTTGTCATAATCCATTTTTATTTACTTATAAACTACATTTGAAGTTATTTCCAGTCCAGACCTTTACTCAGTAATCCACTGAACTGTGACTTTCCATTTCAGTTCTTTAAACCAGGCAGAGAACAATTACTTTAGGAAAAAACAGAGTTTTAAAACAAAAGCAAAGACAGTCATGACAGTGTAAAATCAAAACTGGTGTTTAATTGCAAGCAAACTGGATTCAGAGTTACATCCACTTCTCTAAATCCTTCGACTTTATGAGATGTCTCTAAATGTAAGTGGTTATAAAGGAGCAGATACGGGCTCATGTGCTGCATACTTTAAAACATGTGACATCTGGTGTGAGCTGGTTTCTGTGAGCTCTGTGATGCTCGGCTGAGCCTTGAGAGGGCAGAGTGGCTCCACAGCAACAGGCTCAGCAGCTCCTTCCAGCTCCTGTCAGGGAGGCTCCAGATGTGTTGTGCCATCGTTTGGTGTTTTAAAAAATGCCCTATCGAATCCCCGCCCACACTGTAAGCTCAGCATTTGTTTGTCAGATTATCCTTTGAAACTTTGAGGTCTCCTCTGTCTGCTTAGCAGCTGTTTCTATGCATTCCTGATTCGGTCAAAAGTGAAAAGCAGAGCATCAGAGCCTGTAAGGACAAGTATTTCACATCAAACGCACACGTGCAGAGAACAGATTGTGTGTTATCCTCCTAATTTTCCAGTTTTTCATTTTCATTAGAGCTGGAGATTTTTTTATGCCCCCCTGTCTAAATGTTGATGACAATCATGGTGGAGGGAGCCAGAATCTGTTCCAAAAGCAGCAGAAAACATCTGGGTGCCCTCGCGGCTCTGGACACGCCCCGGTCAGCGTGTCAGCCCATCACACCGTGCTGTGATATTTTCCAAATAGGCAACATCCTCCTGTCAGATGGATTTTCCCCCGTCTGTCGGCTCGCCCACACTTCAGCTCGTCACCGTGATTTCAGAAACCCTAAAAAAGACTCCATCAAAAGGGGGAGCTCATAAAGATCTGATTTTAGAAATAATCATTTTGAAAAAGGCCCATAATTAAAGCTGACATAATTAACAGGCTAATACTGTATTCAACCTCTCAGGAAGGCAGATGAAGTCGGCCTCACCTTCAGTCTCGCTCCTCAAATAGATTTCATGCTGTTTGTGACATATCTGACATACCTGGGAGCTTCAGCTTTTCATAATATCATGAGATCAGGAACCTTCAAGCTGCAAACACACTGAGAGCGCCCTTATGAGGACGCTCGAGTCGGGTGAAAGTTATGACATAGGCAACATTTCTGCATTTATGAGATATCATGGAGTGTATACATGATTCATACTCCCACTTGGAAACAGAAATGTCTTGGGGGAGGACCTGGAGAAGCTAATCTTTCTCCTGTCAGTGTGCTCTGAGAGGCACCGAGAACCTGTCTTCTCTTCCTTTAAGCAGCTGTGACCGTACTCAGAGTCATAGTGGAAGTGTCACTGGTGGGTTTAAAAGTGTAACAACCCCTTAAACTGCCTCTCCATCTCTTTGAAAGGCTTGTTTTTCATTTTGGGAGCAGTGGGTCTGTTTCTATAATCTCTGTAAGCAGTATCTGTCGATGATTAACATTTATAGGCATTTAATCCTAACCATTAGAGTGATTTGGGGACCACGGTGTGCATTTCCTGCCTCTTTTTACATCAGAGTTTTAGCTTAAATCTGGTTTAGTCATCTGCCCGTCTTTATTTCTTTGGTGAACAAACCCAGTAGATTCCCTCGGTTTAGTAAGTCATTGATCTGCTCAGGGAATAAAAAAGTCTAGATTAAGATTAAGTATTGCTTCAAATCCTTGAAGACCAGGTTCTCCTTCATCACAGGCCGGGCGGTCTCTGCTGAGATGGATTTAGCAGTAAATCATGTGTCCGGTGGCGGCAATAAAGGGTCCTCCTGCGCTCATTGATTCTGCTGCTTTTTATCCAGGAACCTGGGAGGCTGTGTGCAGCCGGGGGGGGGCAGCTTCAGGCCGCTGGCAGGGGACGGCTTCGGGGTTGACATTCGGCGAGGATCCCGAGAACAGGAGAATAAACAGAAGCCCAGACGAGCGTTTCAGGTAATACGAGTTTTATTAATCACAAATGGTGGCTCTAAAACGAACAAAAGCAACCCCAGCAGGCCCCGCTGTGACACTCTCCCGTGTGTACATGAGGGGCCGCCGACGGGAGCAGACCCTCTGACATCACTTCCTGATTACACGAGGCCGAAGCTCCCACCTGCCCGGTGTCGGGTCGTCCCGTGAGGAAGCACAGAGACGCCTCGCTTTGGGCCTGTTTTCACTCAGTGTTCAGCTTTCAATCATTTTTTGTTGTTTTTCCTGATAGTGCTGCGTGCTTTTACCAAAAATACGACCCACTATATATATATATATATATGTATGTATGTATATATATATATATATATGTAGGCACTGATACTTTCATTTCTATGTCAACATGTCTACACCTTCAAATCTAGGAAAAACCAAAATAAAAAGCTATTTACACAAACCTTCAGATATGTAAAGAAAGAAAGCAGAAATCTGCAGTAACGTCATTCCTCTCAAACGCCACGCTCGTGGTCACAGAGCGGAGAAGGAACAACCCTCCAGAGGGAGCAAGGGGTCTGCTCTGAGGGCAGAAGGCACTTCAGAGGAATGAGCTGTGTGCAGACAGAGGGCAGATTAGCTGGATCTCGCTCTGTGAGCCTGAAACGGGGCTCGCGCGCGACTTCTGGTCGCCCGGTTCCTGAACGCAGCACGCTAACTCGGACCGAGGTCGCGTTGGGCAGATCGTCTCTCCCACGACTGATGCCGAGTTAACATTTCACCCCACTGCTGAGCGCAGATTCTGAGTGATGGACTTCATGTTTGCCAGCTTTAAAAGACGGCGGCCGGAGCCAGAAAAAGCAGAACCTGAGGGGAGACTTCAATGAAGCTGCTGCTGGTCTGGTGAAATGTTAACTTTGCTCAGTCTTACAAATGGAAAGAGCTTCATATCGCCTCAAATTCCTTTTTTGTCATAATCTTGAGAGAGAAAGCAAACAAAAACCAAAAAAAAAAACATATTTACAATTAGTACAGCTGTTAACCCTCCAGACCCTCCAGGTTTTTGTCTGATTTCCTGAACGGACTGAGCTTTGTTTTAGCCAAACCTTCAGCCTGGGTTGCACCAAAAAGGAACCTTTTAAACATGATCGGAAAGCAAATAAAAAAGATTAAAGTACGTCTATAGCCCTGATTTTTCCTCTCTTAAATATGAATCCATGCGCAGACTACAGGAGGATCCACACCCTCCTGCTGCCTGATGGGTCTGGTCTAAAGGGGCCGGACAGCCGGCGCACACCTTCACACAACTTTAAAAAAAAGCGTTTCAGAGGCTGGAACCGCTTTGAAAATTCTGCCCAGACATCTTCATGACACCTGATTTAAACCTGGTCCTTTTCAGCTTTTGATATTCTAAACCAAACCTTCAACCTTCATGATTTTCCCCCCAGAAACCTGCAGGAGAGACACCGGGCTCTGATTTATCCTCTTAGTCACCACTCCTGGCTGGGGCCTGGAAGGCTAACATACAAACCCTGTATTATTGTCACTCTGAACACAGACTGTACGCATGAGGGCAAGACTCTATCCCGACAGCAACTGCAATATATACACGATTAACAGTAAGCAGAGAAGGACACTTAAAACCAAGAAAACCGAGAGAACGCAGCACTGATGGCGTACAGTGTTTCACAGCATTTGACTGGCACTCTTTGAAGCCTCGCACTAAGACTATCTACAACATCAACATGGAGGTCTCTGGGATCCCCCAGCCAGATATTCAGTATGTAAGACGGCCCAACGGGATATGCACCTAACAGCCTTTGTTGTCCTTCCTGCACCGGTGGGTCAGCTTGATGCAAAGTGGTTAAAGTGTTACATATTCTTATCCACGACCAAATAAAAAAAGAAAAGAAACGAAAACATGTTAGTATCTTACAAATATTTAAAAAAGTAAACCTTTATCTATAGGCATTTTAAAATATATTCCATCAAAAATAGTCTGACAAATTTCAACAGTAGAAAAGAAACGTTATACAAATGACAGAAGCCGTACAGTAGAAAGTTGCCTGCGGAGGGGGGGGGGGCCTCCTGCTTTTCTGCCTGGCAGAGCAGGGAGGTGTTTCCCCTCCTCCGCCTCAGTTAGTGTTTAAAACCATGCAAAAACTGTAAAGGAAGAGCCAGAATTTAGCAGATGAACTCAGCTGAGGGTGGTTTTGTGAAGCCGTTCTCAGTCCCTAAGCATGAACTATTTTTACAGATGGTTGTCCTGCGAGCTCCTGTCACCTTTGGCAAATGTGAGTTGTTGTATTTCGGTCGTGCTGCGAGCTCAGGGCGTGAACTGTGGCGGCTCCGTGGTCCGACAGCGTGGAGGGCAGGCCCACTCGTCACGTCTTCCACTCGGCACGACGGCCCCGTCGTCCGCTCGCCGGTCAGATCACAAACGACGACTTGTGTCGGAAGTCCCCCTGAGGGAGCACACAGCCGCTTAGGAGCACGCCAACGCTTTCTTTGTGTTTGTTCACACAACTGCTTCTATTTCTGTCAGAATGACCAACAGAACTTTAGGGTGGAACAACTTCTTTGATAATAATAATAGTAATACTAATAATACTAATATAATAATAAACAACAACAACAACAATAATAATATTTCATCCATAACACACATTTTCTGGTTTAAAAAGGCAGAAGTAGTTACTTTATTCTGCATTATTTACTCTTTGATTTAATGTTCATATTGTGTCTAAATCTTTTGTGCCTGAGCTCCGTCCAGCGTTTGTTTCCAGAGAAACTAGATAGCCAAATCCAGCTGTTTTTGTGCCGCCCTGAGCTTTCAGGTCCGACCAGAACCAGGTCCAAAGTTTGCTGCCCTGAAAAATGCTTCACAAACCTCATCCTCCGTTCTGACGTAGTCCACCCCGTCGCCTTTGGCGGGAACTTTGTAACTAAGAGACACAGACCACAAATCCCAGTGTGAGGAAGGCTGACTGAGCTGAGATCAGTCTGCTGATGGGGGGGAGGGGGGGTGCTTACTTGTTCCCCGTCTGTTTCTGGGTGGAGAAGTAGCCCTGTTTGTAGGCGCAGCAGATCCCCACCGTTATGCAGAGGAGCACCACCACCACCACCAGCACTCCCAGTATGATCCCCACAACGTCGATGTCATCTGTGGAGCGCAGAGCAGAGGCCTGAGCCATGAGCCCCCGGCCGGCAGGCAGAGGGCGGCGGCCAGGGGCGCGGCTCACTTACACACTTCCATCGTCTGGGGCACACACACGGCGTGCCCGGCGTCGTTCTTGGCCCGGCAAAAGTACTCGCCCGCATCTTCTTTTCTGACTGCGATGAATTTCTGCAGCGGAGGGGGGAAAAAGACACACGGGTCAGATGAAAGCAGCTGCTGTGAACGACACCTGAGCAGGACGCTGACCAACGGCCCTCTTTCCCTCCACTGTCAAAAGGCAACAGATTTTAGAAATGATCTTTTTTTTTTTTTCTGACTGTCAAACACAAACCAGGAGTCATGATAGACAAACCTGAGAGACGAGAGAAGCAGCAGTTCAGCAACAGGGGGTCTGACCCCTTAAAGCCCAGATCTGAGTCGGTTTGGGAGTAAAAGACTCAGAGACGGCCCCAAAACAGAGGTTAAAACTTTGGCTTTGTTTTCGAAAGGTGTTTCCACATAGCTGAATAAAAAACTTATTTATACAGATTTTTCCTCTATTCCTGGAATTTGGACACGCATACCACTCGTTCCTTTTTTAATGCTAATTCGTGTAAAACGAGCCAATGAAAGCAGACATGTTGTGGCAGTGAAGGAGAATGTAGCTGGTGAAACGACCACAGGACGGCAGGCCTAAAGGCAGGATACAAACTGCCATTTCACTGCTGTTAAACATTAAAAACCCACTGAAAATGGGGCGGTACAAGGACTGAGTAAGACAGAAAAATCAGCCAGCGACAGAATTTGAAGAAAGCTCTGCATGCGGCGGGGCTGCCTAAATAATGCAATGTAAAGCCAGCTTTTAATTCAGAGCCTCAGCCTTTCTGTCCCGGGTCATTTCCTCCGATGCCATGCAGGAGCCACAGCCAGCGGCGTGTGAGCGGCGTTGGACGGCCATCCCTCGCCGTGCTGTGTCACCTCTGAAGGGTGAGAGCAGAGCCGTGCTGGAGAGGGCCAGCTAGAATCGAGGAATGTGCCAGCGAGGACAGCAGATTCCCCTCGTGGCTCCGGCTCTCTCGCACCATCAACTGTCTCCCCAAAATATCCACTCCCACCCCTGGGCGTCAGGCCACCGGCCCCTCGGCCCCGCCCTTGTCACTCATGCGTGTCCTTGTCCAAACACGTGCGCACGCACACTGACCAGAGTTCCTGTTTCGGCGCTGAGCGTGTAGGAGGAGTTGAAGAATTTCAGGCTGGTCTTGGGGTCCTCGGGGATCTCCTCCCGGTTCTTGAACCACTGGTACTGGGACTTGGGGAAGCCCTCCTCCTCCAGGCAGCTCAGCTCGGCCGACTTCCCGAAAGGCACCGACTTTGGGACGCTGCATTTGGGCACCACGGGCCTCACTGTGGGGGGGGGACAGAGCACATGACCGCCGTCAGCTCAGCCAGCATCATGTTCTAAAAGCATCCCGGTGAGAAACGGCCCACACATGACACACACACACACACACACACACTCTGGGACTCATCGCGGGCCGCTGCTCTCACAGGACGGGTGGGATCGCGCTTTTTGGGCCGTGCCAGAAAACGCCGCTGAAACGGGCGGCGTTGGCTTTCTTTAGCCCTGCAGCGCGGAGCAGATGCAGTTTCAGAGGTTCCCCTTTTAGCCCAGAACACGCCTTTGCAGCTGGGCAGCATCGCCACACAGCACGCGGCCAACGGCCGGGAGCGGCGCGCTCCTTTTACGGCCAGCGCCGGCCTCCTCCGAACACCCGCCGTCACTTTCACACATCATCTGTGAGGGTACCTCTCACAACCAGGTCGATCTCCACCTCGTCGAAGGTTTTCTGGTCGCCGGCGGCGGTGACCTCGCAGCGGTACTTGGCCGTGTCCGACCTGGTGGCGTTGGTTATCAGCAGCGTGGCCGGCTCTCTGATCACAGCGCGGTTTTCCAGGTCGCCTGTGAGGGGAAAAAATAACAAACACTATAAATAAAGTGCAGAAAGGCCGAGGCCTGCTTCTTTTTGCACGGTTTAGGAATTACCTGAGATCTTCTTGTCAAAGTACACGTAACTGGGCCCCTCACTTGTTATCTTCTTCCATTCAATTCTGGGGTTTGATGTGGAAATGGACTCAATCAGACACGATAATTCAATTTCTACAGGGCAGAAGAACAGGGAGTGGAATCAGGGGGCGGGTTAAAAACTGTTGAAGCGTCTTTCCTTCAGGATTCAGAGGTTCTTACTGTCAAACTCGTCCGTCCACGGAGACTCGTTATCTGTTCTCAGCACCACTGCCAACACGCTGAAGTAGCCTGGAAAACCAGAGCAGCGTGAATCTTAAAGCAGGAGACGATCTCAAGCCAAACAAACAATCGCTTGTTGTTTCACACTCTCCTTGGCGGTGTGGGGGGGCTGTAATATGATCAGTCATGTTCGGTTTTACAAACAATCCTGCCTCCATGTAACCCCCCGAACGTCCCGTCCTTCTTCCAGTTTTAGTTAAACTACTGTGTGTGTGTGTGTGTGAGGGTAAAGGGTGGGGGTGCTGTTTCTATGCACACTGGATAATTGTGCAGGGAGGCATGTGCCCTTTCAGGGCGAGCTCACCATGCCAGCAGTTCAACTGGCTGCCGAGCCTCTATCTCTGTGTCTCTGGGCTGGGTGCTGCTGACCGTGTGGGACTAATGGTGCAAAATCACCCCAGAAAGGTCTGAGGGGCAGCGGGGGCCTCGGGAAGGGGCCCTGCTGAATCATCCAAAAACAAACCCGTGAAAATCCCCTCTGCATCACTGTTAACTGTAAGGAAAACGCCCATCCGCACGAATCCCGGTCGAAATCAAAATGATGCGCTGGCTCTTGAACGCAGCATTTCTGAGAGTCTATTCTGGCCCCGTCTATTTTATGCTGGACAGTCGCGTCAGCGAGAAGCCGTTTTCACGTCCAGGACGTTTGACTTGCAGACCGCACAAAGTCACACAGCCACAGCTCCGAGCGCCGCTCTCTATAAATGACAACATCAAGGTTACCTCAGCTGTGTTCAAGTGTAATGCTCCCCCCCCCCCAACCACAGACAAGGTGAGAGGTTATTGGCTGGTCGCAGATGCAGCATAAAAGCCGGTCTCACCGCTTATTAGGACTAAAGAACAGAACCAGCAGCTCTGTGGTGGTGGCGGGGAGCTTTTAGTCCCCGGATTCAAAGGATACCATTAAAAGGGGATATCCTGACCTCCACCAACTGCCTTCTGGACACACTGCGGTGTCCAGGGTCACCTGCTAAAGCAGACAGGCTAAGCTGATTAGCCCGTGGTCTTTCCAGAGATCATGACAAGATGGGAGCTCGCGCTGAGCTGCTCCTGGCAGCTGAAGACGGCGGTAATGCCCACAACCATTTTATCTGGCTTTTCTGGCATTTTGAGCGCCTTTAAGTTGGTAAGATCTATTTAACAGTCAGTTCCTCTTCGAGGGCTCATCAATTTTAAATGAGAATATGGATGGAGCGCCTCCTGATTTCAGTTGGTGTGGTGGAGCTAAGCATGAATAAATCCTTTGGGTTAGAAAAATCTGGATCAAGATCAGCTCCGGGTGCTGCTCTGTGGCTCGGCCTGATCTCTCAGGGGTGGATGCTTTCTCTGCAAGGATTAAGAGCTGCAATATCACATTCAGAGCTACTTGAGATGAGATATCCCAACAACATCTGAGGCTATGGTGAATATCTGAGCAACTGCTTTGACTTTTTTAATCTACACTCTTCAGATAAAAGTGATCCTGATGCGGGGCAAAACACAGACTGAGGACATTAAGAAAGAGCAGCAGAGGATGAGAAGTCAGACTGTTTCACAAACGCCTGCTTCCTCCTCACGGCGGAGGAGACGCACGGCTTTGGCAAAAAAGGCCTTTAGGTTTCCACAGTTCGTCTTATCGTTGGGTTCTTAGACAAAGGTTTGCTCCCCTCTCTCAACCCAGACAGGTGCTGCAGACATAACCTGCGTCATATTTGCCGGCTCATTTAAATAAATTCTATTCTTCCTAATTCGTGGATGCTCTATATTTACTGCTTGTGACAAAGGCTTTTTCAGGCACGCCAGTAAAAGCCCGAGTTTGAATTTCAGACGCAGTGTAACACAATACCAGATCTAGCTGGGAAAAGAATGCCAACTATCACAACACGCTGTGTCGAAATGCAGGCCAGAGACGACGGACGGGAAGGTATTCCCCCTGATTGTTTTTTGTGTGAAACGCACGCCGTCTGCTGCATCTTTGGTCCGGCAGAGCTAATGGAGCTTCCTCCCAGTCTCGGCACTCCTTCTTTATTCGGTCCGTATTAGAGCAGATTAGGTGCCCGAGTGAGCTTGATGTAGAGATAAAAAAGGTTGAGAGGTCTGCTGTGGAAACAGCTGTCCAGGACAGCACATTAAACCCCCACTCAAAAAGTCTCTGTCCTCATGCACCGTAATGCTTCTCTTCCACTGTAACGCCAGAGCAGCCTTGCTCTTGTGACCAAGGTCTAAATGTCCTTCACTGTTTTAACAACCATCTGCAATGGGACTTCTTTTTTTGCCCCCTTTCAGAACACCTTTGGCCCTCTCTGATTTACGATAAGAGCAGAGAAACAGCAGAAACCAGGGTGTGATGCTACGGACCGCTTCGTCTTCCAGCTCCACACAGCTGGGCAGGCCGGTATCAGGAAGCGCTGACTGCGTGTTATGGGAGTCGTGTTTCCCGTCGCTGCGCCGATCTGTCAGACGCATCCTTCCCTGATCATGTCAAACTCATCCTGTCTGTGTCCGGGCCTCCTTTAATAGCCCTTTTATTATCATTACACGCAGGCAGCACCGCCAGGTTTGTGTTTGTTAGCAGATCATTAGCTTTTAGATCATGCAGGTGTTGGCTGACCTACATCACATTTTTCTTGTCTAAGTCCTGCTTGGACACAGATGTGAGAACTGGTAATCTGAAAATCTGCGTTAAAGTTTTTTTTTCTTTCCCCCTTTTAATCTTCCTCGCCGCCTCCAGTGGCTCAGGGTATTCTCTGTAATCTTAGTGTAATGCCCTCAACGCCCACCCCCTCTTAGTTTTTACATCACGGCATAATACAATAGGCCCAGAGAGGCTGCATGGATCTTAATGCCAGCGCTGTGTAATGAGCCCCGTTGCCCCTGTGAGACTGCGCTGGTTTCCTGAGCCGCTGCTCGGCGAGTCCAGAGAGATGATGCCACGTTATCATAAATAGAATGCTTCAATTAAGCAACCAGTTATATTCCCCGTGGAGCATCCCCACCTCATGCCTTTGGAGAATTTCCCACGCCCCTTCAGAAGCTCAGACATCAAAGCGCGCGCACACATACAGACACACACACACACACACACACACACACACACAGTTTTGCGTACTATCAACAGCTGCTGTTCTGAAACTCGTCAAATGCCTGAGCGTCCCGTGTTTTTTCATATAAAAAAAAAACCCACCTCTGATCCATCTAATTTTTCTTCCTGATCTGATGGATCCATTTGGTTACCGGAACCTAGGTAGGTTCACATGCTCTCTCTTTGTCCGACAAATGTGGCTGTGATCTCAATAAAAACGGCCTCCTGCTCCCTGACCGGTGGGTCACATCAAGCGCTGCCATCTCCAAGGCCACGGCCTCCAAATGATGGAGGCTATTTTTTAACAGCGGGGTGGTGTCATGACAACCCCAGAGAGAGCTGTTCTTGTGCTTCCAGGCCTTCCCATAAGCGAGGTGGGCTGCTTATGCACATCCCAACCCACGTGCAGAGCCAGGTGCGCGCACATGGCTCTGCACACAGTACTTGATACTTAGCTAATGTTACATGAATAACACGGCCTACATACCCCAGATGCATATTCAGCACCTCATTTCCAGTTGAAACTTTGGTAAACAAGCAACCTGAGGGACACTAGAGGGGAGCAGCCGAAGCTTTACAGCTCTCATGGAGAAATGGAGGGTGAGCACACAGGTTTCAGCAGGTTTAGGAGCTTTTGCTACAGGCTACTTTTAACTGTTGCCATTTGGTTTGTGCCGTTTAGCATTTGATTCTCAAGCAAAAAAAAAAAAGTAAATAATTCAAATAATAGGAACCGATCAGGGAAGGCTGGATCCAGCCACTGATAAAGTCCCCCACACATGTGACCACACAAACATTTACCGGCTATGTGTCAATCATTTAGAAACGTGAATGAATTAATAATGATAGACAAACAAACAATAACAGCAATAACAAAAATACTACTAATAAAGAAATCTTAAAAAAATATTCCTGAATCAATTCTGAACATCTAAACCTATATTTCAATATTCTGGCATCATTCAAATCTATTTGATTTGATTGGCAAACATTACAAGACTCTCCTATTGTCAAAGCGATCTGAAAGCTGTGCTGAATGTTTAACAGCTGGGATTTTGAAACCCCATCATGGAATAATGAATTTTGAATACTCAGCACGCGCAGAAAAAGACAAAGGAACTTGCAGTTTCTAGTCCCGTGACTCTCGGCTACAATGAGGCGTGTCTGCAGGAGGAGATGCAACACAAAGATGTGCCTTTTGGACTCACAAAGCATTCTTTTTTTCTGGGCATCAGTGTCTTTTTTCCAATTGTTCCCTGTGAAAGGAGAATGTGTGCAGCAGGTGTTGTGCTTTTATGGTCTGAGCGGCGAGCCTGTTGCGACCTGTGAAGTCAGCACTGGCGTAGAAGGGGAGCCGCTTTTCACCAATAAAATCAGGAGGAATTTAATACAGTATGTTTTCTAGCCTTCTATAAATCCGAAAGAACAATTTCTAGTGCTCCGTTGCATATTGAGCTGAAATGATAGAGTCCCCTGTGTAATTCAAGCCCTCAGAATGGACACAACTGGAATGGACATGACTTTTGCTTTGTAAAGAGGTTGACGAGTCTCTCGAGGCCTCTCACCCGGTCATCCCTGCTGAACTTGCCTTCTGAAGGCACATCGAACAGCTTTTAAGAGGTGTAAAAGCTGCTGTTCTCCACTGAACCAGCTAAGTGTCTTCAGTGCCACTCCCGGTCGATGTGAAAACGTCCAGATATGACCAACCGGGAAAGTGTTTACCAAGACGAGAAGAGCAAAAACAAAAAGACACTCTCAGGATGACAGGCTAATTTACATTACCTTTCTTCTAAAGTCTCTAAACTGAATATTGTTTGAGAAATATATGAGTTTTCTTTTTTTGCTGCCGTCTTTTGACAGGACTCCTGGAAGGCGAGATCATGTATCTGAATAGGACCTTCATGGCTAAACAAAGGAAGACCATAATGAATACACTCCCTGACCTGATTGAATAATGACTTAAAGAACCCTGTAAATACAGACATCTAAACCAGAAACTGTGACGCTCTGGCCAAAAGCACTCGTGCCTCTCATGTTGAACCACGAGGACAGGCTAATTTTCATTTGATAAGTCTATGATGTCAGCTGGGACACAAAGCCTGACAAATTAATTCATAAGAGCATTGCATATTACCATAAGCTTCTTTCTGAGACATGATTACAGCTAGATCTGAGTCAAAGCGGGCTCTCATGCATCAGTTCCCATAGAAACCTTGGGGGAAATTTCCACAGTAACTGGATTCTTTCTGTTTCTCTGCTGACCTCCGGCCACCTCGCTGATGACCAGTGCAAAAGCAGGTCCCACCTGTTTAGGGGGGTGGTGGGCAAAGTGACTGAACAGATTTCAGAGGGTTCTCGAAAAACGGTGAGCTTGTGTCATGCTGACAATGAGGGAAAGGCTTCATCACTGAGCTGGCAAGGAGAGTGACCCCAGGTTGTATTGTCACAGCTGTGGTCCTCCAACAGAGCTGTTCTCTCCCCTCCTTGTGAAAACTTTCCTGTGCACACTAACACCTCCTTTTACTTTTCTTCTGAAAGTTTTACTGAACCTCATGGACATCTCACAGAGCCGCAGAAGAAGATCTGTGCATAAAAGTGTGCTCGGCTTTCTAGCTGGGTAATCTCTTTGTTTGGCCGACTGGGGAAACGACTTTTTGTTAGCTGGGGAAAACGATTAAAAAAAAAAAACAGGACAAACAATTTCTTTCACAAAGCTTTGAGCAACAGATGTGTATTCCTCTGAGCTCGGACCCAAAAATGACCTGTAATCAGGCACAAGCATGAAGCATTTTCTGTTCATCTCCTACTGTGAAAAAAGCCTTCATTAACAGCCCCTGTATTGTCCACACTTTGTAATTCTGGGATAAACCCTGACCTTCGTCCTCATTTATCTAGCTGACATGAGAAAAAAACAAAGATAACCCAGCCTGACTAGTACTATAGCAGCAACAAGGTAAATTCCAATTTGTTTACACAGCTATGGGCCTGAAAACCTAAAAAGAAATAGGAAACAAATCCAGATGACCTGATACCTTCAGCCAACCCAAGCAAAGTTTGAGGAAAAACAGGGAGAAAAAAGGCTGAGATCTGCCAAATGACACAGGAAGTGGACTGAAAATGAGCAGCAACAGGTCTGATGGAGGGATGGATCCTCCCAGAGCCCGGAGGCCAACAATGACCAGACGAACTCCACCACAATAAGGCGTCAGATGTTCCTTCAGCTGCTCAGCAAATGCCGGAGCAGCGCGTCACTCCAACAGGCAGCAGACTTCAAGTGAATCTGAAATATGCGGCTATATTAAACTACATATGAATGCATTACATGCTGAGCACGGGAAGGGCGGCCCACTCCATTCAAGGTTTGGTGTGGTATTTGGGTCACAGTTTAATATCTTCCTGTAAAGTTAGGAAGCAGGTTTCCCAGCTTCCCATCTCCCTGTCTGATGGAATTCCGACGAACATGAGCCGATTAGATGACGGGGAAAACGTTCCACATTTCAAGATTTGGGCTTATTGGCTTTTTCGGGGCATATCAGTGTCAGAGGCTAATTCAGATGCATCCTGACTATTCCAGGTGTACTGAAACTGGGTTCAGCTCTGCCCATGAGGGCTTCTTGTTTATTCATTTATTCTGCATTTAAATATTAAACCGCTGCAGGTCCTGATCCGAGAGCCCGGTGAGTCCAGAGCCGCCAATGTGCCTTACCGCTGGTGAGCCCTCTGATCTAGGAGGGTCAAAGACTCGGCCAGAACCAACGAGGACGGGGAGGGTTGGAGAGGGTGGGGGTGAGTAGCTGATGGTGTCACTGAATGCCTGGGAACCTGTCACTTTGCGTCAGCGTTAGCGTCTACATCTGGCCTGCTCTCGCTTCCACCTCAAGCCAAGTATGACTTGCTCACAGGACTCGGCTGCAGACGAGAAAAAACAACCTTTTCTTTTCCACCTTCCACACCGGGACTTCAACGAGCCACCCAGACTCATCGGGGGGGGGGGGACTCCACAGCTTCTAGACGACCGGTGAGGGAATAGGCGCATAAAAAAACACCTCACATATCACAAGCCCTCCGTCTTTGAACCACCGTCCCATAGTGTGGAGCCATTTAATCACATCATATCGGGATGAACATGTTCCAGAGGACACACATGAAGCATTACTTATTCATTTGGTGGCTCTGAGTTGATCAGATCGTTGGTGGGTAAAAATAGTGCGTTTGTTTGGTGTCAAACTGCTTCTTCACATGGTCTCGGCAGCCCTGCATGCCAATGGAGGCCTTTGTTTGGTGACACAGTTTCAGGCTCCGGCACTGAATGAATTCTTAATTAAACAGAACAATGGTCACATGGTATTGTAGCTGGGGACAGAAAAGCCATCGAACAGACACA